AGATAACAACCCGGAAGTCATGGATACCGGGGCCATAGTTACCATTCCAGAGAAAAAACGGCCTGCATAACTGAGTCGAAGCCCCCAGTAGAGATCGAGCTCAGCGGCAGCTCACTGAGTGACGAAGAGGACTGCATTTTGCCGTCCAATTCCGACTCGGTAGCTGACGATGAGACCCGAGTCTGCTAGCAAGCTTATTTTTGGCGGGGACGGGGAGGACGCGATCAATGATGGCGTGCCCTTCGTCCAGAACTAGCCTAGTGCAGGCCAACCTCCACCACAGCGAAAGTGCGTAGGCTCAATTACGTAAGTGGTTGGAGGCTCAAAGGACGACCATAGCCTAAATCCAAGAGCCGTGGGTTGGGGCTGGTAAAATCAAAGGCCTAAACAACCTAAAAGATAAGTTATTCTACAACTCTGAGCACGACAAGCCGAGAGTGTGTATTTATATTTTATAATACTAGAATATTTGCGCATTAACGTCCAAGTTACACCTATGCCGGTAGTTGTTGGGAGCACTCAGCTCGAAATTGTTGACAAGTATGTTTACCCGGGACAAATAGTCCGACTAGGTAAGTTCGACTTCGACCAAGAGGTCAATCACTGATTCAACACGACTGGGCAGCGTTAAGGAAATTATGGTACATCTTCTCGTCAGGTATACCTCAAAACTTGAAAACGAGACTACAACCAGTGCGTGTTGCCAGTGATGACCTATGGAACTCAGACGTGGTCCTTCACTGATGACCGGATGAGGAAGCTCAAGGTCGCTCAGCAAACTATGGAGAGAGCTATGCTCGGAGTTTCCCTGCGTGATAAACTTAGAAATGAGGATATCCGCAGTAGAACCAGAGTGACCGACAACCGACATAGCCCAACGGATTAGTAAGCTGAAGTGGCAATGGGCCGGTCATATAGCTCGAAGAACCGACAACCGATGGGGGAAAAAGTTCTCCAGTGGCCCCCACTAGATGGAGTGACAACCTAGTAAGACATGCAGGAAGTCGATGAATGCAGGTGGCTCAGGACTGTGCTTTGTGGCATTCCTTGGGGGAGGCCTAAGTTCAGCAGTGGACTTGTGAAGGACTGTAATGATGAGAATATTTACGCGCAAACCGGACTAGAGGTTGTCTCTGAGGAATGGAAAAATCAAACTAATGAGGTAAGATGTCAGTTGAATATCTCTTTGGCACTAACCTAACCATTTTAAGCACTAGTTGCGAACCAACTTTCATACACACACGTTGTCGCACAATAATCGACCTCACATTTGCAACAGGAGTAGCTTAACAAATTATGCGATGGCATGTGTCGACAGATGCCTCATGCTCAGACCATAGATGCATCTGCTTTGTACTACATGTCGATATCACCGTAACATCACCATGGAGAAATCCCCGTAAGACGGATAAAATAAAATACCTTACTGCTAACGTGTTCGCTCGTGGGTTTTGAGGGAACGAATACTATAGCAGATCAGTCACTTCTACAAGAACAGGTAGCAGCTGTTATTAAAGCCTTGATGGATAGCTACAATGCATCATGACCAGAAATCACTCCACCAAGGCATGCTGAGGCAAAGCAACCGTGGTGGGGTAAAGAACTAGATAGAAAAAGTAAGAAGGTAAGAAAAGCCCTAAATAGGGCCATGAATACCTTAATGGATGAAGACTGGCTACTATATAAAAAAGCTAAGTCTGAATACAAAAAAATTATCAGGTATTGACTGGGTGGCGTAAATTCTGTGGTAACAGAAACTTGTGAACAAGCAAATTGGATAAGGAAAATCCTAGCTAAACAGAACACGCTGGGATCCATCTTTCTGAAGAAACCCGACGAAAGCTACTCAACATCGCCAGATGAAACCCAACACATCCTAATTGAAATGCACTTCCTAGGTTTCTGTGTAACTCAGGGGGTAAACCGGCATGAAGATACACTGACCAACAGCAGAAGATTGGAATTTAGCACAGAGAGTGGTAATGATAAATAAATTCACTGGGCCAATCACAGTTTCCTCCCCTATAAGGCGGCAGGACCTGACCTGATATACCAGGGGGGGGTTAGTGCCCCCCTAATAGTCAGACTTGTTGCCATAATGAGTGCATGTCTGGCTCTTAAATATGTTCCTAGGGGATGGAGGGAAGTGAAAGTCACATTCATACCCAAATCAGGTAAGAGCAACTATACAGACCCTAAATCCTACAGACCCATTAACCTCACATCCTTTCTCCTAAAGACGATGGCACTATACTACGTAATAACAAAGATTGAAGAGGCCGTCCAAAATAAAGTAATATGTCTAGGTTCCTTCATAGATATAGAAGGTGCTTTTGACAGAACGAACTTCTCCAGCATAAAAGGTGCACTAAGTAGACAAAAAGTTGAATAGGCACTTAATACAATTATGATTGCTGATTGAAATTCAAACAATCCAGATCAAGAAAGGTTGCCAGTAGAGTGGGGTTCTTTCACCTCTCCTGTGGAATATGAGCTCATCAGCAAATTAAACACAGTAGGTTATGCAGATCACTTGACAATACTAGTCTCTGGAAAGACAGCAAGCATATTGTGCGACCCAAGTGGCTCTCTGTATAGTGGAGAGATGGTGCAAGAAATATGACTTAACTGGTACTGCAAATAAAACGGCCTTAGTAATGTTCACACTAAAATGAATGCTGAATAACTATCATCTCCCAAATCTTTCCAGCACAAAACTCCAGCTTTCCTCTGAGGTAAAATACTTAGGTCTTACCTTGGACAGTAAACTCAACTGGAATAAAAACAGAAAACAAATTCAACAAAGCTAGTATAACTTTCTGGCAATGCAGAAACATGATTGGCAAAAGATAGGGTCTGACACCAAAAATTATACTGTGGTTGTACAAAACTGGTTGCACTCTGGTATGGTGGATCAAAACAAATTAAGCCACCACTATAAAGAAGCTTCAGCATTACCAGAGACTGGCATGTAGGGCTCCCACACGCTGCACAAGGACTACACCAACAGCAGCCTTCGAGGCTATGCTGGAGCTAACCCCGCTTCATCTTCACATAGAACAAGAAGCGACTTTAGCTGCCATTAGACTCAAGACCCTAAACCTTTAGAATAAGAGCAGAGTCCCTCATACAGGTGTAAATGATAGAATTTACTTAAAAATTCCTGTCTTACAAGCCAAGTACAATAAAATCCCCAAACAATTAGTATTCGATAAGATGTATAAGATACAATTAAATGAAACCAGCCAGCCGGAGGGATTAAGCCTGAAAGAGCTTATAGTTTTCACTGATGTTTCTAAAACAAATGAAGGTGTAGGATTTAGAACTTTCCTTGAAGACCTCAATATCCACATAATATGTACACCGCTGGGTACCCACAACACAGTCTTTCAGGCGGAATGTATGGGTATCATCCAAACGAACATAGCAATAGATGCTAGGAAGGTAAAAGACTTCTCCATCAGAATACTGACAGACAATATGGCGGCACTACAAGCTCTGAGTTGCAATGTGGTAAACTCGGGATTAATATATGAATGGGACAAGGTGACTCTGCAATGGATAAAGTGACTGTGAAATAAAAATCTTTTGGTTATATTCAAATTTTTGACATACTGAAAAATTTGAATATAACCAAAAGATTCGTTTATCGTACCATCAAACGATACAATGAAGACTCTAAGGTAGATGACAGGTCAAGAAGTAGTCTCCCTCGGTCTGTTAGGACTCCAGCAGTGATAAAAGCTGTGAAGGTGCGAATTCAAAGAAATCCCAAACGTAAGCAGAAACTGTTGGCCCTTCAGATGGGGTTAAGCAGAACCACGGTGAAAAAGGTGTTAAATGAAGACTTAGGGCTTCGGGCATATCGAAGAAAAACAGGACATCGTTTGAATGCTCGTGAAATGAATGCTCGCTCGAGAGCTACAACAAACAAAATGATAAGGTGTACACACACAGTAGTGAAGAAGCGAACAACCGTATTCCACGTGTCCAACGAGGTCTTTTTCCATCCTCGCTCATGGTATGGTTGGGAGTTTCTTATTGGGACTTAACAGAGGTACATTTTTGTGAGAAATGTGTAAAAACGAATGTAGTTGTGTGTCAAAATACAGTCCTGACAAACCTTGTGGAACCTGTTTCTCATACCATGTTCAATAACAGGCACTGGGTATTCCAACAAGATTCGGTGCCAGCTCATAGAGCGAAGAGCACACAAGACTGGCTGGTGGTGCGTGAAATCGACTTCATCCGGCACGAATACTGGCCCTCCTCCAGTCCAGATTTGAATCCGTTAGATTACAAGATATGGCAACACTTGGAGGAAAAGGCGTGCTCAAAGCCTCATCCCAATTGGAGTCACTCAAGACATCCTTGATTAAGGCAACCGCCGATATTGACATGGACCTCGTTTGTGCTGCGATAGACAACTGGCGGCGCAGATTGAAGGCCTGTATTCAAAATCACAGAGGTCATTTTGAATAAACTTTAGTGTCATAAGAATCTATGTTTTGTTAAGTTCATTTTGGTATATAAATGGTTACATAATGAATAAACTTGTTTCAATTATTTTATATTAAACATGTGACAGAATTTATGACTTAACTAGGTATTGTAATGCTTCTATGTGTAATTATGTAAGCCACACTTAACAACACTATCTCCTGGAGCGACATCTCAACCACAATTTGGTATGTGCACAAGTTGAAATGTCTGTCTACATTTTCCCCTGACTGTTGCACGTAAATGTGCCGCAACTGCTCTCGATTTTGTTCCCTAGTAAATACAAGGCAGTTTGAACATAAGCAATGTTTGTTTTATTTAATGTAACATATTTGTAACACATATTATGTATAAATTTTAGCTTTTTGCACTCCTTTTCTGTATAAACTTTAAATCTCACACTCCTCAAGTGCACAGTATGCTTAAAATGGGGTATAAAGTTTTCCCTTCACATATTAAATTAAATAGCTTGTATTTAACAAATTTTAATTTTAACTTACAGCTTTCAATTTTCTCTTCTCTTTTGCTGCAGCCATTTCTGCTTTAACTCTCTTTATGTCTTCTTTTTGTTGTTCTGTCAATGATGCTTCATACATTTCTTTAATTTTTTTGTAATCTTCTAGATCTTTTTCATATTCTTTAACCATTTGTGTTTTTGTCTACAAAATATACATAAATATAGTTTATAAGTGTTACATACTTTTTTAGCCCATCACAACAATAAATTGTAGATATAAATTTGGCCAATATTGTAACCTTACAATGTTAAAATTAATTTTTGTGTGTATTGTAATAAAATGATTTTTACACCTCACTATCCAGTTCCTGCCAATGTTTGGAGCTCCATGCAATAGCCTCTTTAGATGTGATTCCAGGATTTTTAGCAATTAGTGCCGGTCTCATTTGTGTCATGAATTTGAAGAAAGGAGTCAATGGTCTTTTCGGTTTCTCTATTCCCAATTTATCTTCAGCTGATTTCTTAGTATAACTACATACAGGTATAGTATTTAACCAATTAGTCCTGCAAATGTAAATAACATTAAAACAGTGATCATTAAATTCTGATAAAAACTAAGATTTTTTATTAAATATACAAAAACACTTATACTCATACTCATCAAGCAGTGAACTACTTAATTTTTAAATTTAAAATATCAAAATATAAATATCTTTTATTGATTGCCTTTACAATTAGGAACAATGATGTGATTAACAAATAAATAATAAATATCACTGAATAACAATAATAAATTATGCGTGGTAACCTCACCTTGGGTAAAGAACTGTTTTATAACTCCCCATTATGTAGTTACTCAGTCGACATATTTGAGTAAATGAAGACATTATCTGAAACTCTAATTAATATTGTAATATGCGGTTCGTAATATATGAATCGCAATTTATTATTCCAAAATATTTAAGGTTATATTTACTTTATGCTTTTAATTAAAAATTTTTTATTAAATTTTTTGTTTGGATGTTTGGCAATACAGTTCCAAATAAGATTTTTGACTTAGATGCTTGTTTTTTTAGCCATAACATCATTTATCCTATAAAAAAAGTAGTATCAAGTGTATAGTGTAAATAATCTGAAAATCTTACAATCACTGGATACTGAGAAAAATAAACTAAAATTAAAATCTGAAAGAAGTATGCTTCACAATATGTTGATGCGTCACATTGCGCTTCCCTTAGGAGATTTTGATAGCAACTTGAGTCAGCAGACAGTTAGCGATAGTATCTTAAGGCGCTTAACCTTATTTTGAGATTCACTTCACCATTGGAGCACTTGTGTCCATCGTTTTTTCATAGTATAGGATGACAAACGAGCACACAGTCCACCTGATTGGTTGCTGTGGCCCATAGACATCTACATTTATCGTCGTTTGCGAATCAAAATGCAGATGCGTTGCCACCCATGAGGACTAAGATGGAATGCCTCGTTTCCGGTAAAAAGGATCTCCGGCTCTCTACACTCACTCACTTAGGTTAACCCCCTTATTGTAAATTTTAACTCTTATCTCTTAAATTAATTAATTTTTACTAAATATCGTTTGTTCGATCGCTATTGATGATTGTTTGATCATAAATACAACTTGATTGTGAGGACCAAGATGGAATGCCTCTTTTCCAGTAAAATAGGTCCGGTTCTCTACACTCACCATACGAAACACAGCAGTGTCAAGCTGCCATTTTACGCTGGTATTCTGTGAGTGTGGTCCTTCCCCGGTCGAGCCGACCCATTCGTGCTACAACTATACTACTAATATAGCTGCTGCATGGCTCTACCACTTATAAATAATTGAAATATGAACAAACAATTTTTATATTCGAACAATAACGAACAAACGACGAACAATTAATTAAAAATAAGACAAACTCAAAAATCCAACTGCTACATTCATACCATACCATGTATCTGGAAGGTTTTTGAACTATTATTTACTGCTTACAGCTGGACACTTTTCCATCTCATCCCCGTATGTGATAGTCATCCTTGCCTCTACCCTCCCTATCCGCAGACCAATGACCTAAGAATAAGAGAGGACGTGCCATAATGATCTATATAAAATAGGCATTATTGGAATATCGTACGACTTGACACTGAAATAAATATAGTATATATGTTTCTTTCTAACGTATGTGATTCTGCTAGTGTAAAATTTTGTTAGTTTTACTTATAATTTTGCAATACTGAAATCTGACGTCACGTAATGCAAGCCATAGATATATAAATATGTAGCAAGCTCAAGGAGGTTATAATATATTTACAATCTCCTTGAGCAAGCTACAGATATGACAGTGACTTTTAGTCAAGTTTCCCACCTACGCGTTTTGGCGCTGCAATTGCCCTTTTTGACAGATGAGTAATGACTACAGTGCCACCAACTTATCTGTTCAGGTGGACAAAATTGGAACTAATGCCGCCATTTTGTAAATGACATTTCGCTGTCAGTTATTATTTATTCTGAGCTATCAGGTGAATGTTTTTAAAAAGTGCAATTAAAATGCCTAAAGCTCTTAAAAGTGATGCGCGACAGATTATCCTAAAAGTTTTATCTTTTATGAAAGAAGAGAAACGTGTACAAGCCCCAACTATACCATTTGAAAAGCTGTATGAGCGCGTTGCTGCCGCGACTGGTTAGTATTGCCAGATATGGAAAATTAAAATCACCAAATAATGTACTTGTAAAACATAGTAAAAAAATTATCTCAATTTACTGTAATTCGTCTAAAGTACCTAGCTTTGTAGTTTGTGGTCTGTGAAGTAGCTTTAGTGACGGCATATACACGGGCTTACATTTATTTAATTATACCTATACAATAATTATTTGTCGTTTCGTTACAGGTGTTTCTGAGCGATTTGTACACAAACTCGTAAATGAAGAGAAACACGCTGAAGAATCCAATTCTAAAATTTCTACCCCTGGCAAAAAAAGGCAAAGAAAAACCGGGAAGCAAGAAGTTGATAATTTTGACATTGGTGTTATAAGAAGAAAAATTCACGAATTTTATTCAGTGAAAAAAGAAATCCCTACCATACCCAAATTACTGATTATTTTAAAGGAAGATATTGATTTCAAAGGAGAACGTGAAACTCTTCGAAAATTGCTTCACAAAATAGGATTTCGTTATAAGAAAACGAAATCAAATAGAAAAGTGTTGTGCGAACGTAACGACGTAGTTGCATGGAGAGCAACCTACCTACAAAAAATTAAAGAAAATGAGCGTGGTGAAAAAAGACCTGTTATTTATTTAGACGAAACTTACATTCACTCGTCTCACTCAACTGGGAAATGTTGGCAAGGTCCTGAAGAAGATGGTGATTTGGAACCTGTTTCGAAAGGTAATAGGTGGATCATAATCCATGCAGGTGGAGAAAAAGGTTTTGTGGAGAATGCCCTTCTCGTATTTAAATCAAATACAAAATATGGGGACTACCATGATGAAATGAATAGCATTAATTTCAAAAAATGGGTATATGAAAAATTACTACCTAATTTGCATGAACCTTCGCTCATTGTAATGGATAATGCGCCATACCATAGTATTTGCGTAAATAGGTGTCCTAATTCAAACCACAGTAAGGCTGATATGCAGAAGTGGCTTGAAAAAAACAATGTAAGTTTCAATGAACAAATGACAAAACCTCAGCTTTATGAATTAATAAAGAGAAATAAACCTGCTCCGGAATACGAAATTGATAACCTGATGAAAAGTCATGGCCATGCTATTCTTAGATTGCCGCCTTATCATTGCGACTTGAATGCAATTGAAATGATATGGAGCTCTATGAAAAGGAACATAGCAGACAAAAATGTTGGAAAATCTAATGTTCTAATGCCCCAATTAATTGAAGATGCATTTAATAAAATTACACCGGTGCAGTGGAAAAACATATGCAATCATGTGAAAAAAATTGAAAATGAACTAAAAGACGCGTATTTAGATGAACCCTTTATTATAGAGTGTCAGAGCGATAGCGAAACCGATTCCAGTGACTCAGAAGATGAATTATTGGAACCAGTATCTAACGCGGGTACATCTTTCAAAACAGGAATTCCTGGAGTTCGACCGCTTGAACTCCGAGACCACGACCACAATTATTTTTATAAAATATAAATATATATATATATATATATATATATATATATATATATATATATATATATATATATATATATATAATTATATATATATATATAAATATAATTTATATATATATATATATATTAACACGAAATTTGTTTTATTTTATATTATGTGTAATGAATATGTAGTCACCTATTTCCTCGGTAAATTTCTTAAATGGCAATAGTAAGCACTCCACTAGCGACTCTGTCAACTGAACAGATAAGTTGGTGGCACTATACAAATTTATATAATAAAGCTATGTGATTACAAGCACACAACCAACCTTCAAATCATCGATATCAATATTTAGTGATGTTCTTATCTTATCGATATCTACATGAGAATAGATTATATCCTCGCTGAACTTACAAAAATCGCCATGTGTTTCAGACCTATTTTACAGGAATGGCAAATAATTATTTTTCATAGAATATACTGAAAGCATATAAAATTATTTTTTTATGATTAATATATTTACGTAGATTTAGATTACTATTGAAAAGTTAAGATGAAAAATAAGCTTATAAAATAATACATTGCTTAAATTTGACACAGGGTGAATGGAGAAGTGTCATGATGTTATTAATATTATTGTTACGAGCTTGGGGTTCGAGACAATTAAAAAACTGCCGATTGAATTACCAAAATTGACACTTTAATTACACAACGCTAATTACAATCTAAAATCACACTAATAATAAAACACAGTTCGCCGTTATTTCGCTTCGAATTAATCTCTTGTATCGCCAATTCAATACTGCCCCGGTCGTGGTCTATACCGGCCTTATATAGGGCCTCAGATAGTTTCCAGAACCTTCTACTGTAGCGACATCTAGAATGTTCGAGTACATATCGGTCCCGAAATTTCTGGAAGGATCTCGACTCTCCTAGTTCTGCTACTCGACACTAGAGGGCGCTAGTGTAACTAGTGTTGCCATGTACAAGACATTAATAGTGGCGCGCAACACTTCCTTTTACTTGACACTAGAGGGCGCTAGTATAACTAGTGTTGCCATGTACAAGACATTAATAGTGGCGCGCAACATTATATTCAACGCATGGAGTATAGAGTAGAAGGAGAACCGTCTCATATGGGGGGAAATTTGAAAAAGTATCCAACTGTATACTGAAAAAAAAAAGGTTCCAAAACCTGCCACAATAGCGCTGGCGTCTGAAAAACTACAATATGAACATAGTTGTAGAGTCTACAATGTAGACGGAGTGAAGTCAGCTGAATTCAAATATTTAAAAATTTTCATGACTAGTTAGTAAAATGCCAGTATACAAAACCTCAACTATTTACGTAGTACAAAACCAAGCGGATTGGTCAGTCCTTGTTTATTTTTCCATGTTATTCTAATTACTTTTGGCGCTTTTTTTTAATTTATCCTATGCTACCGCAGCGCTACCCTTATTGGACGCTCTTTTTATGACACTTATTCATATACAGAGATGGTCCTCCCTTTACTCTATACTCCATGATCCAACGTATTGGTATTAAAATATAGATCAAGATTAATCAATCGGTGAAAAAATTTTTGAAATCCATCAATAATAACTTAGAAATAGATTATTGAAGTTTACGTATTTTAGTACGGAACATCTGTGGTTTCTGATTCGCCTGTGACGTCATTTGACTTATCCGAGAAATTTTCTATGCCATTTTCAACCGGTTAATAAATTTGATTTTTACATACATTTTTTAAAAT